TGCTCCTTACCCTCCTAGGTCAACTGGTTCCAGGGGACTATGAGCATCTCTCAAAATGTCCTATAATGGTGGTAGGTCACCTGTCCTCTTGATCAAGGAGGCTGAGGAGACCCCACCAGATGGACTTGAACCAGTGTCCAGTCTATAAAGAGGAGGGTCCAATACAGAGGAATCATGTCCTCCATGCTTCCAAGCGAAGCCAACCATGGTCGAGCAGGACCTTTGAGTTATCTTCACATAGGCAGAACTGGTAAAATAAAGGAGCCAGGGGCTCCTCCCAAACCCATGTGACCCCTGAGGAACAGATCCTCAAACGCCCTTAAAAGTAAAAATAAATCAGTTTATCTGGACCAACTGTATGCCCTTAAACATCCAAAAGGAAAGTATAACCAAAGATTAAAGGGGCCAATATAATTTCATAAGAGTCCATATGTATAGCTAAAGGCAACATAAGAAGCAACAATGCCAGAAAGGCGATGCTTTGAGTTGTTGGGCAGGGTGGCCAAAGGGATTCCCAGATATTAACCCAGCATAGAACTGGGAAATTGAACAGCAGACCCCAATCTTATCCAAAGGAATATTGACAACTGATTACCACTAGATGAGGAACAGCTGACCCTCCTGAAACAAAGAAGACCTCTAGATATGCTGACTAGATTCACCGGAAGGGCAAGTAGTGGGGAATGGCTGGGGGTGCCAACTAGACAGCAGCACCGATATCAGAGTATAAGGGCTCTAGTGGGGGGAGGGAGGCTATGGGAGGGAGGGTGCTACCTGGGAAGTGGGTATATAAATACATTTAAAAAAAAATTCTTCAAAGCATAAAAATTTGCTCCTTAATAATTAGTAGATGTGAAATCTACTGATGACTTTATATCCATGCTCAGATAACAAGCAGCTCAGAAATTAACTGACTGTGACTATAATAATCAGATATATAGAGATTAGAAATGCATGTGCATCTTATTGTCAATTGTATTAAAAATGAATTTTTCTGTATAAAACTGTATATTTTAATAATGAAATGGAGATCTTTTTTAATGTTTAAAACCTCATTTAATTTTAAGTCTTATAGGGGTTATACGGAGTACAATATTGTATAACTGTATCAATTCAACTGTAAACCTAAAAATTTACAGCCAATTTTGAAAGAGATGCATCTTAGCTCTGGAATTTGTTATTCTGAGTATGTCAATGCTGTTGTAATGAAATACTTCTAATTATATGGTTATTAAATAAATAATTTTAAAAAATAAAAATAAGGTTATTAAATAAATAATTAAAAAAAAGCTGCAGGTGGTAGCACACATTTTAGTCCCAGCCCTTGGGAGGCAGAGGCAGGTGGATCTCTGTGAGTTCAAGGCCAGCCTGGTCTACAGAGCGAGTTCCAAGGCTACAGGGGCTACAGGGAGATCATGTCTCAAAAAGGCCAGAAAAAAATTAGAAATTTTTAAAATATAAAGTTTTAAGCAGGGCGTGGTGGCACATGCCTGTACTCTCAGCACTTGGGAGACAGAGGCAGGTGGATCTATCTCTGTGAGTTCAAGGCCAGCCTAGTCTACATAGTGAGTTCGAGGACAGCTGGGGCTACAGGGGGACCATCTCAAAAAGACAAAAATAAGAATTTATATATATATGTGTGTGTGTGTGTGTGTGTGTGTGTGTGTAAGTTTTTGTTTGAAAGGTTTATGCAGTTGTGACCACCTGAGTTCAACCCCCAGAAGCCACATGGTGGCAGAAGAGAACTTTCTTCCAAGTTGTCCTCTGACCTCAATATACATAGTGGCATGTAGTGTACAAGAGAAATTTCAAATTCAGGTTTATTTTGAATTCAGGACCTACAATCTCACCATGAAACTATACCTCCTACCAAAATTATAAGTAAATAGGAATCCTAAAAGCTTGCTTTTGATAGTGAGAAATAACAGAAATTTCCTTTAGTTCTAGAAACAGAAGGAAAAGAAATTCTTCTGCTATCAGTACTTAAATGTTAATCTTGGGCCAGAGAGGGCTCAATGGATAAAGGGGATAAAGGCACTTGCCACTAAGCCTGACTGATCCACTTGATCTCCAGTGGTGGAAGGAGGGAAATGACTCCTGAAAGTTGCCCTTGGCTTCTCCATGCACATCACAGCATGCATGCAAGCATGTTTTCAAAAGAGGACATATGTATGCACACATGTGCGTGAACACACACACACACACACACACACACAAATAAATAAATGTAGTTAAATAAACGCTAATCTACCCCTTATAGTCAAGTGGTAGTAAACAAGAAAGATGGTGTTGGTATAGCTGTGTTTGGTCAAGTTCAAAACATATGACCATGTATCTGAAAAAGTTAAAATATCAGCAGTTTATTCTCTATTGCTTATCGTCCAGCAAATAACTTCAAAATTACACATCTATAGAGGAAATTTTATTTAAATATTTTATTTTTATTACTTTTATTTTATATGTATGCATGTACTGCCAGGATATAGGTTAAGTGCACCCGTGTTGTGCAGTGTCCACAGAGGACAGAAGAGGCTGTCGGATCCCCTGGAACTAGAGTTATGGACAGCTGTTAGCTGCTATGCGGGCGCTAGGATTCGAACCCAGATCTTCTGCAATAATAGTGTTCTTAACGGCTGAGCCATCTCTCCAGCCCTAGAGAGGTAATTTTAGTTAGTTCTTTTTTTATTTCCAAATAGAAACAATATTGCTGGGCTAAGAAGACTGAAAGTTGAGATACGAAATAAAAGGTACAGTCATATTCAAACAAAATAACCTGCCTATATTTTTAATAAGATTTATTCCATGGCCTAGACACCGAACAGTGAATTTGAAAAGAAAAACAGAAAAATGTGCTTGGCACAATTGTTCTAAAAGTTTTACAGTAGATTTCAACAAAATTTAAGTATCCAAATAATATCCATAGAAACGTCACCATCAAATTAACATCTATGGGGCTGAAGAGATGACTCAGCGGTTAAGAGTACTGGTTGTTCTTGCAGAGAACCTGGATTCAGGTCCCAGCACCCACATGGCGTTACAGGAGATCCAACACCCCCTTCTGGTCTCTAAGGACACTGAATGGCACAGGTACACTTATATGGAGGCAACACACTCATACATATAAAATAATTTTTTGGGTCTTTTTGAGACAGGGTCTCTCTGTAGCCCCAGCTGGCCTGGAAGTCACTATGTAGACCAGACTGGCCTTGAACTCACAGAGATCCTCCTGCCTCTTGTTTCCTGAGTGCTGGGATTAAAGGCGTGCACCACCACGCCCAGCTTAAGTAAAAATTTTTTTCAGGTAATTCAATTTTATTTGTATATATGAATGTTTTTATTATATTACACTGAATAAATATTTGAATTTCCAAATCCAAGTAAAAGTAAACCATACAGTTTATTAATAATCATCAACATTTAGTAAAGCACCAAAAGTATACTGCAATGGTGCTACACAAAAGCATAATTATTGATATAGGTCCCTGTCAATACAATCCAAAATAAAATACAAGAATGCTATCAGCCTACCTCAAAATTTCCTTAACTTGGAAACAGTTACTTTGGCAAATGGATGAGGTAAAATAACTTATTCCAGGTACAGCGTTAATAAAGCTTTGATTTTTTTTTTTTTTTTGGTCTTTTTGAGACAGGGTCTCCCTGTAGCCCCAGCTGTCCTGGAACACACTATGTAGACCAGGCTGGCCTTGAACTCACAGAGATCCGCATGCTGGGATTAAAGGCATGAGCCACCATGCCTGGCCAAGCTTTGAATATTTTACTGGTACCCATTTCCCACCACATTAGGCTAAGAAAAAAAAGAACTCTTAGGAATTTGGTAAGAATAATGAATTATTTTAGATTGTTGCTTAGGAATTTAAACAGAGATGCTTACTGCTGTAAGTCAGCAGCCAGTGAAATCCTATGAAAAATAAGAACTAGACTAAGTTTGTGTTCTACTCCACTTACACCATTCCAACTTTCCTCTTCCATACATAAAGGCTCCAACAATACTCCTATCAAGGGAGAAAGTACTATATCTAGATAAATTACTATATTAGGAGTCTAGCAAGTCAAACCTCTAAGAAATACAAATTCATATTTTAAGAGGACTGAGCAAAGACAGCAATGGGGCCTCTCACTCTACGAGATGTCCAGCTACAGCTGGGTGTGGTGGTGCACACCTTTAATCCCAGCACTCAGGAGGCAGAGGAAGGCAGATCTCTGTGAGTTCAAGGCCAGCCTGGTCTACACAGTGAGTTCCAGGCCACCTGGGGATATAGTGAGAACTTTTAAAAAATAATAATAATAATTCATGGCCTGGAGAGATGGCTCACTGACTGCTCTTGCATAGATTCCCAGCACCCACATGGCAGCTACAAACCATCCTTAACTCCAGTTCCAGGGGAATCCGAAGCCTTCTTCTGACCTCCGCAGCATTGCATGACACGGGTGCACTCACATACATACAGGCAATACACTCATACACATAAAATAAAAATAATAATAAAAAAACATGTCTAGCTACATGCAGCATGTAAGCAAAGGCAGTCAAATTTAACATCCATGGCACAGAACAGTCATAATATATGCTTAGTTTCTTCTTACCTACCATTATCTAGGAGAAGACATGCTTTACTACTTATATTTACAACCGTTTGATAAATACATTCAATAGTGTTTAACATAAATAATTCTAAATCATCCAAAGTCCTAAAGTGTGAGTCAAACATTTTATTCAATGATTTCTCTTTATAGTTATACCTCTTCTTCACTAATAATGCATTGCTTTTAATGGTCATACAAATATAATAGTAAGTTTTGAACATAACCTAGAAAGTTACTGCCTCATTTACTAAGCTAGGAAAAGATCCACTTCTATGATTTAAACAATAATCAAATAGTATACAATGAACTTAAGTGTTGATTAAAATTTTTTCTCATTTTCTCAGAAAATTCTTAAAGTATCTAAATGTATTTTAAAATGAATTCTGAGCACTTACCGACTGCATACTGACTCCAACTTGCTGAAAAACCATCCTCACCAGGCACTTAATCCAGCCAAGCATTTAGATGGCCAAGTCAACCCAAATTTGCATTTCAAGTACTTCAGGCATACATAGCAGCACATGGTCCATAAAGCATGCTGAAAATATCAATGCAAATAGTGTGATGAGATAATTATTACTTAGGATCCTGACTTCTTACATGTCTCACAAAGTAAGCTTAAAATAAAGCATCTTAAATTTGGTTTATAAAATTAAAAAATTTGCATATTATCAGCTTGTTTGAATAATAATGGTAGGTCTGAGATGGCACAAACATATATAATAGGTGAAATCATGTAGTATGCCAACTACTAACCAGAATATACTTCTTACTATCTAAAATGCCCATAACTAGGTCTTTGGTCAGACACATTTTAATATCACTTGGATCTATTACTGGTTGTATGAATAAATCCTCTGAGTCAAAAGGAATTAAAACCCAAGACTCAAAAACATCAAAAACAGAAATGGCTATCAAAAATAAAATACCTGGACATGTAACACCGGTAATCCCCACACTTGAGAGACAGAGGCAGGAGATCAGGTACCAAAAGTCAGCTAAAACAACATAAGGAGTTTGAAGCCACCCTGGGCTATGTGAGACCCTGTCTCAAAAACACAAAACAGAGCTGGGTGTGGTGGGGCATCCCAGTACTCTGGAGGCAGAGGCAGAGATAGAGGCAGGCAGATCTCTCTGAGATCGAGGTGCGTTCTAAGCCATCTGAAGCTAGAGGAAGACTGTCATAAAAAATGAAAAAAAAAAAAAAAAAACACTTCATAAGTATGGTCACACATGCCTGTAATCCCAGTACTCAGGAGGCTGAGACAGGAGGCTCACCGTGAGTGTGAGGCTACCCTAGCCTACATAGTCATGCCCCATCAAAAAACAAAGAGAGAAAAATGTTTTTTTAAAGAGATTAAGAGATTAAAGAGATTAAGGGGGTTGGGGTTCTAGCTTAGTAGTAGAGCTCTTGCCTTACAAGTACAAGGCCCTGGGTTCAGTTCTTAGTGCCAAAAATTTTTGAGAAAGATAAAATTAAGCTAGGCGTGGTGGCGCAAGCCTTTAATCCCAGCACTCAGGAGGCAGAGGCTGGTGGATCTCTGTGAATTCAAGGCCAGCCTGGTCTACATAGTGAATTTCAGGACAGCTGGGGCTACAGGGAGACCCTGTCTCAAAAAAAAAAAAAAAAAAAAAAAAAAGATAAAATTAAGAGATTAACTCATGGGGGCTGGAGAGATGGCTCAGCAGTTAAGAACACTGGTTGTTCTTGCAGAAGACCTGGGTTTGAATCCCAGCATCCATATGGCAGCTAACATCTGTCCATAACTCCAGTCCCAGGGGATGTGACAGCCTCTTCTGACCCCCGCAGGCACTGCACAACATGGGTGCACTTACCTACATGCAGGTAATACACACATACACATAAAATAAAAATAATAAATGAATTTTTTTAAAAAAGAGATTAACTCATACAGAAAAGCATACAAAGCCAGGTGTGGTAGTGTATACCTGTAATCTCAACACTCCTGAGCCTAAGGCAGATTTGAGATTTTAAGGACAGCTTAGGCTACACAGCAAGACTCTGTCTCAACATAAACAGAACAAATTTTAATTCAATACACTTGTAAGTGCAGTGACCCTTCAGGTTTTTACATTTTTATTCATTTTTTTAAATTCATTTTTTAATGTGTCTGAGTATATTGCCTATATGTATGTAAGTGTACCTATGTCATGCAATGCCCACAGAGGTCAAAAGAGGGCACTGGATCCTCTGGAACTGGAGTTACATGCTGTCGTTGGCCGCCACATGGGTGCTGGGAATCAACCCGGGTCTTCTGAAAGAGTAGCCAGTGCTCTTAACCACTGAGCCATCTCTCCAGCCCCACTGCCTTCAGTTTTGCCTCTTCCTAAACATCATACAGTTGGAATCCTCCAGCTGCAACCTTTTCATCCTGTTTCACCCAGTGCAATACACTTAAGGTTCCTCCACATCTTTACATGGTTTGAAAGCTAATTTCTTTGGCACTGAATATTCCATTGTCTGGATGTGCTGTGGTTTAATTATCCAGCCACCCACTGACATCTTGGTTGTTTCCAAGTTTTAACAACTATGAATAGAAAATTGTAATTATGTGTTTTTCTTTTGTGTATGTGTGTCTGTGTGTCTGTGTGTGTATAAGGAAGGGACTGCATGAGCACCTGTACATGGAGGCCTCACCCATGAGAGGCAAGCACTGCCCCCAAAAGAGCTACATCCCAGCTCTGTGATTTTTTTTCTTTTAAAAAAAGAGCCTCACTTGTATAGCCCCAGCTAACCTGGAACTCACTACATAGAGCCTAGATCTTTTGAAGTCCCTTCTTCCAAGGCAAACCAAAGGGATAGAAAATAGATCGGTAGCCAGATAGCTTAACTATGAGAAAGCAGAAGAGCTTCAAGGACACAAAACTAGCCTCCAGCTTGATTTTGGTAGCAGTAGCTATGAGCATGCTCACCCAAAACGGTGAATTGTGCTGTATGCTTTCATGGAAAAACTCAAAACTCTCCGGAGATGCTGCTTTACCACTACCTGCCCCACACTGCAGCTGTCATTTAAGGATACTCAACTCATTCCTTGTCATTCAGCTACGATTATCACTAAGTCTTCATTCCAAGTCCTTCCTTAAAAGGAATTCTGTTCTCTGACTGACTAACCTAGCTTGTGTTCTTGTCAGCACTAGGTGATTCTAATAGTCACACAATGGTCCATCCAACAGAACACTGTACAGCCTATTTTCAAAAAGATATAAAATGGCAAACTAAAGCTAGATGTGGTGGTACATGCCTGTTGTCCCAGCACTCAGGTGGAAGGAGGAGGCTCAATCCTCCCAAGCTACATAGTGAATCGGAGGCCAGTCTGGGGTGTTGGGAGCCATGCTTGACATAGGCATTGGAAATTAGAACGGTGTCTCTTTAAGAGCTTCTGAGCTCTCTGCTTCAGAGGTCAGAGCTGACAGGCTGTACCTGCATGATAAATCAGGTCTTCTAGAAAGTTAGTTTCGGTTCAGTCTGTGGGCACCGGAAGCTGCAGCTTCATGCTGTATCCATAGTAACCCTTTTGTTTCTGTTAGGAAAATTCACCTGGGTAACCCAAACTCCAGGCTGGATAAAAAGGACCTGTGGGACCCCTCAGTAGAATCTTCCTAGTGGAGAGCTCTCTCCTACTTGTAGCTGCCTTTCTGTAAATAAAGTCTTAGAAAAACTTCAGACTTCTGTCTGAGTTCCTTTCTTGTTGAAGACCCAAGCCTGGTGGGCTTGGGGGGCGTTTGACAAATGGCACCCAACGTGAGGCTCGAGGGGTCCGAGGAGAGACCCCCTGAGGAGAAATCCCAAACTCAGGTGAGTATGAGAAATCAGGTCAGTATAATGACATTGGGCAAACCTGCTTTCCATTGTGCAGAGGAGAAAGCCGAGTGAAAACGTAAGCACAAAGCACTGATTCGGGCTCTACGGGTAAGAGTAGACAGTCTTCAAAAACGTGTTGTAAGCTTAGAAAAATGTTTAGAGGCAAAAATAGTCACCAGCAATGCAGTTTCTAAGACTTCAGAGTCAGAGACTGTACAAGAGTCTTCTGATTCTGGGAGATGGGCAAATGCTGTCCAGGAGAAGCAGCTTGAACTGGACAGACAGTTACAGCGCATGCAGGAACAGATAAAGTTATTGGCAAAGCAAATAAGTTTTGAACAAAAGTTGCCTCTTAAAGGCACTTTTCAGTCTCCTGGTCCTGTAGGTTTACAGCCCCCAGAGAGAAAGGATGAGCCTGTAAGTGCTAGGGCAAACAATTCCTCTCTTTTGTCTCATCCCTTGGCTCTGTCACTCTTACAAAGGCTTGTGCAGCATGCCGCTGAGAGGGGAGAGGATATAGCAGGATTTCATGGTTTTCTACTTATGGAACAAGATGATGGACAGGGAAATAAATTTAGGATACATTGTCCTTTCTCAGGAAAACAATTTAATGATCTGAAAGTTGCCTGTGAGCAGTATGGACCTAAAGCTCCTTATACTCAGGACATGTTAGACTCTCTACCTACTGAAGCTCTGCCTCCTAATGATTGGAAGCAATTGGCCAGAGCCTGTCTGTTGGAAGGTGATTATTGTTTATGGAAGTCAGAATTTGAAAACCAATGTCAGGTTCTTGCTGACCTCAATAGGGCTCGAAATATTCCTATTACTTTTGAGATGCTTGCTGGTGAAGGCCAATATAGAGACACAGAACAGCAGATGAGAAACTTTAATAGTGCTGCATATGCACAAACTCATGCAGCAGCAAGAAAGGCTTGGAATAAGCTGCCACAGTCTGGAAGGCAGACTGAGAGCTTGACTAAGATTAGACAAGATCCTGAGGAACTTTACTGAGAGTTTGTGTCTAGACTTACACAGGCTGTAGAAAGGCTTGTCAGTGACAGCAATGCAAGATCTGTCTTAATAATAATGCTGATAATGCTAA